GTTAGACCCTGCTCCGGAGTAGGAGCTAATTTGGTTCTCGAAAAAGGTAGTCCGGTACTAAAATCGCTCCCAGTTCCGGCGGTACGAACACGGCAAAAAGTGGGTAGTTCCACAATTAGTTCTGGTACTATGAAAAGGTTCCTGCGGTGCGAAAGGCCCTATAGCGATATATTGGATGGGAGGTGCCCTTCAGTGCTCCGTCCATTAACTGAAAACAGGCTAGACTAATTGATTCTTGGGATTTAAGAATTTATATCGTTCCGTAAAAAAAGAATCGATTAATACAGAGAGATAGATTTTTTTTTTTTTTAACCCAGCCCTACTAATTATTAATAAACCGCAAATTAGGAATGAGGCAAAAGTCGTAGTTAATTAATTGGACTTTAAAATAAAGTGTTGACTAATCTTAATTTAACGTTGTGCATTTTTATTTTGAACGTTTTTAAATTTAACCGAATGCAAATAAGACTTATTAGGGGTTGACGATCACGGTCCTAGGTTAAATGATTAACATTTGTGTGCATTCTTGGTAACACATTTTCTGAATTTCTCAGTGTTTAATACTGCTGTGAAATAAAGTTTCAAATTAAGTTCCCATCTCCGCTATTGTTTGGTTTTTAATTGGTCCTACTGCTTTTGTTTCTTTCGTAATCATTACCGACGGTTTACGTCAACAATATGAAATCTCCACGCTGCTGTTGTAATTCCATCCACTGACATTTGACAGTCGACATACAGCATGACTTCCCCAAAATATTGGGTCATGCACTGTACTATTTTAAACCATTTTCCTAATGCCTTCAAAATTATGCTGAGGAAAATGTCACAGTGGAGTGTTTGATGTGGACCAAACTATCCCAAACCATGTGAACCTCTTTATATAATAAAACCAGATAAGAACGCAAGATTCACAAAGTCTATTTCTAAAATAATTTCTGCTGTGGGTCAAATGAATTAAACAAGTGATTACAAAGTATTGAAAAACTCAAATGAAATTAAACAAAAACTTGATATTAATTAGAATTGGGCTACAAGACAAACAAACATATACATACAGTGGGTACGGAAAGTATTCAGACCCCCTTAAATACACATATACATATATGCATTAGATTTTCTGCACAGCCCTATATTAGTGCTGTCAAAATTAATTGCATCCAAAATAAATGTTTGTTTACATAGTGTGTGTGTGTGTGTATGTATGTATGCATGTATGCATGCATTTAAGAACAATTATGTTTATATATTAAACAATAAAATATTAGAATATAATTGTACATGTACATATATTTTGAAAATATATACAGTATGCGTTTGTATTTATATTTACATAATATATGCATGTAGGCCTGTCGCAATAATCAATATATCGACTTGTCGCGCAAAACATGTACATGACCTCAATAATTTGGGGACGCAATATATCGCCCATTATATTTACATAAAATTTTATGTCATCATGTTTTGTACATTCCACTTGCGCCTGTGTCTTTTGCAGCTTCTCGTACATAACGTGGTGTAGTCATGAGTTGCTAGTTTAAATAAAAATAAATAAATAAAAGTTCCATCTGCAGATATGATCTTGTTTAGGGATCTGTGTCTTTGTGCATACAGACATCTGACTGCAGATACTGAGGAAAATGAGACGTTCATCAGCTCGCTCGGTGGTAAAGATACACTAGCTAGCTGGGGTTTGAGTCCTCTGAATCTGATCTCAAGCAACACACGAAATAAACCCGAAAACAGCATCCCAGGGAGTTAATTACTCGAGTTATGATTATATATACACACACACAAACAGACTTTACTTCATCCGAGTAAACACTCAAATACATGCAGCTAACTGCAACGAACGGACTTGTTTCTCATCTCAGCCATCCCGAAAGACGAAATCGGGTTAAAAGCGAAACAAACACGGCGTTAATAATAAAACACGCGGGTTTAAACCCAAATCTGCCGGTTTCGTGTCACAGTTCAGCGTTTAGCTGGAAAGGAACAACAGGCTAATTTGACTAGCATCAGCTAACAGCCATATTTGGTTAAACTCCGCAAGTTCACACTTTTAGACGAACAGTTACCACACTGAAGGACATTATATCAACGAATAACTTTAATAAAACCTATATTGGGCTTACTACCGAGTCACTTTACCGAAACGACTCATATTTTCCTACAAGCTTAGCATGAGGGTTAAAGCGAAATGTAATGCGAACACAAGTGTCTCAAGTTACTTGCCTTATCCGAGTAAAAAGAGAAGCTCCCACAATATAGAGACTTTGTATTACACCCTTGGCGACGGTCCGTGCTGGTGTGTGTGTGTGTTTTTCTGGCTGTTGTTTGTTGCCTTTCTTTAATAGTGGTCGTGACGTCACGGTGATTGACACGTCCGGGGGCGGGGCTTACTGTACAAACCACCCTCTGCTCTGAAGCTCAGCTCTACAGCTGCGGGGCATCGTCTCGTCTGTCAGAGCTAGAGCTGATTGTGCTCTGCAGTCTGTTGGAGTTGTACATGCGAGTTTGATCTAAATGTGGAGATGCTTTGTGATAGATGGAGGCAGAAAGGTCTAGTCACTACTTGCGTCAAGCCAAATTGCACAATGTTCTAGAGATTTCCAAATCATTTCTGAGAATGGTGATAGTGCTGATAAGACGGATCTCCACACCCACACATATTCATCCTGTACACTACAGCCTCCACGGTTATTACTGGGGGGTTTCAGTATGGCACTGGTTGCAAAATAAGGTGTTTTAGTAGAATCAGCCGCAAAATGTGTCAAAAGGTCCAGTCTTGTTGAGACCCAAAATGCAAGAAAACAACTTTTAAGTGGACACATTGGTCTGCTGAAGGTTATTTTTACATCAGCAGTGTTTGTATCAGATGTCACCACACTGTGATCTGCTGCGGACCCGGAGAACAGCTCTCTGTGAAGGACATGTTGATTCAATCACAACACATCTTGATCCAGACCAAGCAGATGAGAGAGGATAACACTGGCACATTTTGAATACTTGCTGCCTCAAATTGCAGAGCTGCCCAGCTAGATAGCATTTTTGGGCTTTATAGACATTGAAATGGCAACGCAATCATGACTGGGGAAGCCTCTGTACTTGGTCTCAAAAAAACAAGTCTTTATATGTCACTCCTTCCCTATTAAGGAATTAACGTGAAAGCAGATGGGAATAAATGAACAAAACACAAATGAATGTAGAGATTATAGAAGAATACATTCATGATTACGCGGGGAACCCATTTGATTTGAAATCACTCATATGTTGTCCACAGAAAAACAATGAACCGAGTCAGTCGTTGGATGTCTTTTCATTTCACAACACCCCGGCATCTGTTTTGAAAGCACTCTTGTATTTTGCCCTCTGGTTATATATAGAGCAGGAAAAGGAACAACAGGCTAATTTGACTAGCATCAGCTAACAGCCATATTTGGTTAAACTCCGCAAGTTCACACTTTTAGACGAACAGTTACCACACTGAAGGACATTATATCAACGAATAACTTTAATAAAACCTATATTGGGCTTACTACCGAGTCACTTTACCGAAACGACTCATATTTTCCTACAAGCTTAGCATGAGGGTTAAAGCGAAATGTAATGCGAACACAAGTGTCTCAAGTTACTTGCCTTATCCGAGTAAAAAGAGAAGCTCCCACAATATAGAGACTTTGTATTACACCCTTGGCGACGGTCCGTGCTGGTGTGTGTGTGTGTTTTTCTGGCTGTTGTTTGTTGCCTTTCTTTAATAGTGGTCGTGACGTCACGGTGATTGACACGTCCGGGGGCGGGGCTTACGAGTCATGACGCGCTTACTGTACAAACCACCCTCTGCTCTGAAGCTCAGCTCTACAGCTGCGGGGCATCGTCTCGTCTGTCAGAGCTAGAGCTGATTGTGCTCTGCAGTCTGTTGGAGTTGTACATGCGAGTTTGATCTAAATGTGGAGATGCTTTGTGATAGATGGAGGCAGAAAGGTCTAGTCACTACTTGCGTCAAGCCAAATTGCACAATGTTCTAGAGATTTCCAAATCATTTCTGAGAATGGTGATAGTGCTGATAAGACGGATCTCCACACCCACACATATTCATCCTGTACACTACAGCCTCCACGGTTATTACTGGGGGGTTTCAGTATGGCACTGGTTGCAAAATAAGGTGTTTTAGTAGAATCAGCCGCAAAATGTGTCAAAAGGTCCAGTCTTGTTGAGACCCAAAATGCAAGAAAACAACTTTTAAGTGGACACATTGGTCTGCTGAAGGTTATTTTTACATCAGCAGTGTTTGTATCAGATGTCACCACACTGTGATCTGCTGCGGACCCGGAGAACAGCTCTCTGTGAAGGACATGTTGATTCAATCACAACACATCTTGATCCAGACCAAGCAGATGAGAGAGGATAACACTGGCACATTTTGAATACTTGCTGCCTCAAATTGCAGAGCTGCCCAGCTAGATAGCATTTTTGGGCTTTATAGACATTGAAATGGCAATGCAATCATGACTGGGGAAGCCTCTGTACTTGGTCTCAAAAAAACAAGTCTTTATATGTCACTCCTTCCCTATTAAGGAATTAACGTGAAAGCAGATGGGAATAAATGAACAAAACACAAATGAATGTAGAGATTATAGAAGAATACATTCATGATTACGCGGGGAACCCATTTGATTTGAAATCACTCATATGTTGTCCACAGAAAAACAATGAACCGAGTCAGTCGTTGGATGTCTTTTCATTTCACAACACCCCGGCATCTGTTTTGAAAGCACTCTTGTATTTTGCCCTCTGGTTATATATAGAGCAGGAACCCGATACGAGACAGTCCTCCATGTGAAAGCACAGCGCCGCTGCTTTCTGGTCTGGAAGTGATTTCAGTGAAGGAATGAAGCAGATGAAGGTGTTGAAGGCTTGGTTGTATTCTTACCTGTGAACACTGAAGGCATTTCCTCTAACTTCAGCGGTGTAGTTGCATTATCAGTAAACAGAGTACTGAGCTACACCTGATAAATGCAACGGTTGTGTTTCTTTACTCATCTAATTTTACTTTGCAGACCCATCTAATGGCACGTCTTTGTTAACACCTATCAGTCTTGATTAATGACTGTGAAATATTGTATGGGTTAGTAACAAAAATCTGCCAAATGTAGTGGTGCGAGGAAAACACCCATCTCAAACCTAATAATGCATTCGTATCTGCCAAAAAAATAAGAGCAGGTTTATAACTGCAGAACTGAGAGGGGGGGAAATTAGATGGTAAAACTATTTTTACTATTATACTAATAGTAAAAATACTATTAACTTCTAACTAATATAAACTATTTTTGTCTGTTCAATGAATGTCAGTGGGGTCCAATACATCACTGAACCCCACTGACTTTCACTTTATGGACCCAAAAAAAAAAAAAGTTCAACAAAGAACAAACATACACATTGAAAGAGCATTAGTTGATTTATTCTTTCCACAGGACACCATGGAAAGTCAATTTATTTACAAAATCTGGAATGTTGAATAAATGCATACCAATCATCTTAATAGTAGCTGCTTGCGGAGAAACCTTTGACGTAGCTATACATTAAAAGGGCTGCTTCTGTGATGCAAATTATTGCTGGTTTTAAAACCGTAATCACTAATGCCATGAACAAACCATAAACCTTTTAAAAAAGTATTTACATTTTGATTAGTAATCTCTAAAGAAAAGTGTACTAAATAAATAAAAGGTGGGACAATAAAAAAAAAAAAAACACCAGTTGTTTTTAGTCACTGTTCGTTATTAAATTTTTACAATGTCTTCGCAGACAAAATAAAAAAGTGACAGTCAAGGATTCTACGCTAGACTGATTGGTGACAAAATGGAAGTAACAGTGTCCACAAAAACACTGTGTTGAATGAATCATTCCAAGCTAAATTGGTGGCTGTCGTTTTATCCATTAAATTTGTACTTTAAATAAAAAACTGTGATTAATCTATGTAGTAATCAAATGTAGTAATCCAATTCATAAACAACGGTGACTCATTACTTATTTTAACACACTCTGAGGGCAGCGCGTCAATGGTAATTAAAATAGTGCGAAAATTGGTCTGAAATCAACTGCGAATCAATTTAGAATTAATTGAACTCTTTTGAGCTCTCGTAAAAATGCTGACAGTGCTCTTTCACATCAAATTGTGGATTTGTTACATTATCAGTATGTTAATTCGATTACTTCAATTCATTTAGCGCTCCAGTCTACCGAAGAATACAGCGAAGAACGATCAAAAGGAGGAATTTCATGCAAATAATACAAACAGAACTACAATCGACAGTAAGTCGTTCTCCTCATATGCAGACATGGCAAAAGTCTTTCATGGCCTTTCGATGCGACTACTTCATCCAATACAAACATTACTCTTAACGTTTTACAAAGCTTTTCGAATCTCTTTGCTATTGAAGAAGTCGATGTATCCTCATACAATGGTACGATAATCTTCGTAGGGGTGTTTGGAAACAGCAGTGCAATCGCTAACGTGACGAGACACTCATTCGCACACTGATTTTTCACTTTACAAACTTTTTCTTTTTTTTTTTTTACAAATAATCTGAAATGCCAGTTCCTACGTTTTTGTCTTTAAAAAATGTTATATAAAATGCTTTTTCGATCAAGAAATACTAAATGGGTTTCGTTATTTATAAAAAGAAAAAAACACAATGGACTGCATCCTGCGAATGGAATAAAGGACTTTCTATTGCTCTTTCGCCCACCGTGTCATATGTCAGCCCAATAAGGCCACTGAATATGCAGCGTGGATCTAAATGAGTATTGCTCTGGGTCGAACCCATGTGTGACAGTTCAGGGTCTATGGCACGTTTCTCAGCCCTGCATCCAAGCCAACGAACAGCAAACGAACGTCCATGACTGCACCACTAGTCAAATGTTAGAATGTTTTCATAAGAGAATAAAATATTATGCCTACAATCTTCTTCACAGAATAGAAAACCGTTTCCAAAATGAAATAAGAAATAAAAACGTTCACACGCGAGTGCTTCGGATTAGTTGCGCTGGAATCAGTGGCTGTGTTGTAGAAGAAGGAAAGAAGTTGACATGCCAGCAGTTTCATGCCGCCAGTATCCCAATATGCTTTGGTTAAAAACCACTTTCTGTTTCCGTGTATGTCTTTTTCTCTTTCGAAATCCTCATGGAAATTCTTCATCGTGTTCCTGTCCAAGTTTCACGTACAGGGAGCATTTTGGCGCATCCTTACTGGTGGCTGAAGTTTGTCTCGCTCCATTAAAGTCTGTAGGAAGAGACTCTTATTTCACTGGAGGAACCTTGCAGAAAGTAGATAAAGGCCATT